TGGTAACAAATCACTTCATATACCTATGCTAAATTTCACACTTACTGCCCTTAGATAGCTCTAGTTCTTGCTTCTTGGTTATTTTTCTTATTTTTATTTATTTATTTATTTATTTTACCAATTATCACAGGATGGCATTCTAAAACTTCAAGCTACCAAGCTCTGTTTTTGTACAATTTAGCTCACTTTCTAGAGAAGATAAGTCATACACAATACAATGTCCAAACATCTTACCACTACATTCTTTATTTTCCTTCTTTACTCCTCTTTCGTTCATTTTCCCCTATTCTTCAAGGCAGAGCGATATCTCCTGAAAATTACTCTTCCATCTGCTTTTTAAAGTCAACTTTGCTCTTTTCTGCTGAAGTTGTCTCTCCCTTCAATAAACATTCAGAGCCTTTTGTTTATACCTCTTTAGGACACTGTCATAATCTAAGTATAATAGTGGGTTTTTTTTATTAGTTACTTTAGTATTTATTCATATAGAAATAAGCAAGGACATACTCCATACTCTTCCTCCCAAGAAAGAGAAAAGTGTAGTCATTCTCAGGAGAAATCTAGAGAGCAGCTACACAGCCCAGGCCAACAGAAGACAGGCCAGGGGAAGAGAGTGGGGTCAGTGTCACAACACATGCACGTATGGAAATATTTGTACAACTTATATGTTATTAATTGTAATAATAATGAAGCTTAAAACCCCAGGAGGATTAAAAACTCTTCAGTTAATCAGCAGGTGCTATGTTTTCCTTACATGGGAAGATTGAACCAGAGTTGCTTCTGTAAGAGGAGGAGGAACTACCTAACTGACCATCCCATTCAGGGGGACCCACTTGACAGCCCACCCCAGAGCTGGGCCTTATGAGCTGCAGGCCCGGTCTCCACCTCTGAGTAGAGCTTAGCTCTTTTTGTTCAGTCATGGGCTACTTTTCCACAGATGGCTCCCCACTGGTGCTGGCTGCTTTCCCCAGGCCTCTCCCTCTGGTAGCTACAAGAACACTCACTGCCAGGAGTGTCAGGATTGGACCATTCCAGAATGACATTGTGAGGAGAAAAGCACACAGATCCTAAAGGCACAGCCCTGAGTTTCTCTGGTCCTTGTGGGATTTTCCAGGGTGGTGTCCTTAATAGTGGTTTTTTGAAAATAGGTTTCTTGATAGAACAGACAGTGTCTTATATTGACACTATGCATTTATTTATACAGCAATTAAACACCAAAGTGTAAATCAGTAGGGTAATGCTATATTCTCGGGGACAGTAAAAGTAGCAAGGAGTGCTTACATTTGGCACATTAGGAAAATAGGTTCTTTAATTTTTCTCAGCTGAATAAAAATAGGGAAAAGTAGATTGCCCAAGGATTGAGATTTAAAATCTAGTCTTTAAGACCAGCTATTGTAATGATTTTGTTTTGAGGTAATGAGGGAGGGACAGGAGAAGGGATAGATGAACTGTATTTTGAGAACTCTGTTTTTGATGACTGCCTAGGAAAGAATGAAACTTGTGTTAGAAAGTGTTTCCAACTAACGAGATAAATACTTCCTTTTCTTTCTGTAATACAGTTTTACAAAATACAGTCTACCACTTAATTTCTCTGAATTTTTGCATTATTATAATAAACTTCCACTAATCAAATGTATTGTGTGCCTGGGTTTGTGCTAGGGTTCTGACAAAGTCACTTGTGTCTAAAAAAAGGATATAAAAGTGGAGATAACCATTTATAATTAGGGTCCTAGAAGTATTGGCACATTGTTATGGATTCATCCAGTGCAGACTGTCAAAGTAAATAGAGCTGTGTCACAGAGTATAGTTAAGTAAGTTAGGAATCTGGAAATTGAGAATTGTTTTCTTGTGGTGCTGGGACTCGAACCTAGAGCCTTGCACATGTTAGACAAGTGCTCTGCACTGAGCTTCATCTTTAGCTCTTTCTTTGAGAATTTTAGAATAAAACTTTTGGATGTATTCTACTGTGTTCTTCAATATGAAAGTGGTGCATACTGTTTTCATATATATCCCCTTTGCCATTTTTGCATTGTTAGGATATTACATTTCCAGCTGAAAACCAGATTAACTTTGAAGGCAGAATGAAAGAAAATAGCCAGTGTGACTTAATTTCAAATGTTTTCTCATGATTATTGCATCCTTGTAAACTAATTGAAGCATAAGATATAATGACTCTCTGTAGACTTAAAAATATGGGTGCAGAATTAATTTCAATTAGGAGTCCTGTACTGTAGGGTCACGCTATAATGAAGCTTATTTTGATACATTGACAGACTGCATCACAAATGTTTTAAGACTGGCCTGTTGTAGGATTAAAGGGTAGAATAAAGTAGTCTTTATGGGAGAAGAGGGCATTTTAGGCATGAATCATAAAGATCAGCCATTTATTAATCAGATCGTTGATATTAAAATATCACAAAGTAGACATCACTTTGAAATAATTGAATCACTGCACTGGGGTATTTCAATAATTGTCTGACTTTGAGATTTAGCTTCTTCAGGTCCAGGTTTGTTTATTATCATAGGAGATTTAGTTTGTAAATGCTGCCTTTTGATTCCCATATTAAATGATGCTCTAAAAGGAAAACAACCACAGCGGCATTTTTGAGCTTTCAGTGTTATGGATTTTACATATACATCTTCTGAATATTTCCAATCTTTTAAATGGCATTTTAGATCACAAAAATTTTATGTATCTTTCTATATATATGGATTATATATGTCAATATAGTCTTAAATGATGTTAAACAGATGTGTAGATATTTAATGCATATTGGTTACATAAATATAAAATTTCTCTAATTTAAAATATTCATCTCAAAAAAAGAATGGGTGGCAAAAAGTTTATTTAAAAAAATCAGAATGACTTTAGAATTATAGATTTGTTCTTTAACAAAATTTCTCAAATTCCAAAATACTGGAAAATTAGGAGAAATATAAACAAGTTTAATTTTTTCTTCCACAATTCCTCTATTGCAGAGATTACTGTGATAGTTTTGGTGCATTTTCTTCCTACTTTTTGTGTGTTTTTAGATTGTCGAGGTCATAACAAATCTCAGTCTTGTTCCCTTGTTTTTTTTCAGTTACCATAACAAATTCTTTCACATAAAATTTTTGTGATATTTTAACAGGTACAGAATATAAGCATACCACAGAATAAAAATTTGATTTGGAACATCTGTTGTATGTCAGTCATGGTACCTAAGTATCTTAATTACATTCTAACCTTTAGCACAGTCTTGTCAGATACATGACAATATTGCCACTTTATGGCTCAGAAAACAAACTTATAGTTAAGTAACTTGCCCACTGTCACATAAATAATATAAAGTACTTTGGTTTTTCTATTATATTGTGATGCTTCCAGTTAAAATAACTTTTCTGTTGTCGAACTTTTACATTTTCCCCACTTTTTAAATTAATGTATTTAGTAATGTATTTAGTTATAAAACAGGTCATTTTACTTTCTGTCAACTCATCTTTTAAGTATCATTTGTATGGTATCCGGAACAATGCTAAATATTATTCTTAACCTTATTTCCAATCTCCACATTTTTTGGTGCTTTGGGACAGTCACATCATCCTTGGTTTGTTTTCCCTTTCAAAATGAATACATCCTACTAGAAAGTATTTAGAAAATATAGGAGTGACGCTTCTTTAGTTAATTTAGAAAGAGTTCAAGACAAAATCAATCCATCTTTGGTAAGTTGTAGTTTTTATTGTTGCATTTGTATTTTATGCCTGTTCGATTCTTAATTAGAACTAGCAAAATTTTGGTGGTCCAGTTTCCCAGCACTAATGTAGGAAATTGATGTGAATGAGCTTAACACACCTGTGGAATAGTTCTAGTAGGAAGATTCGAAATGCTTGCCAAGTGTTTCTGCATTATAGTTGATTAAACTTGAAATGTAGAGTTGAGGGTATGTTTTATTGTCAGTGACTAATTCTTACTTTGAAAACACACAAGATAATAATTAGCTCCAATTAATCACTTTCTTATAACTGCAATCATTGCCTTCTTTAGCAAGAAGGAAAGAAGCAGATGATTGATACATAGGTAAGGATTTGAGGCATAATGTCTGCTCTCTTACGATGTTAAGGCTTAATTTATGCTGTAGACTAAGTGTGTTTTCTATAACAAGTATTATAGTACTGCATCTAAGAAAGTAAGTTGATCATATAACAGCTTTGACAAATGGTGAAAGCAAAAAGATATGGGCAGATTGGAAGGTTGCTGAAAGTGTAAAGGCATCAAAATATTTATCTCCTAAAACTTGTGACATACAGATTTCCATTTCTATAATTTCTAACACTGGGTAAAACTTTAATTTAGAAGTAAAGGCAACATTTGGCATTTTAACCTGACCCATTCAAGAATGTATAATTTGCACTTAGAAATTAAACAGCCATAGCAAAGAAATACATTGAACTAAAATTCTTATTACTGTGACCTTTTTATGTCAAAATGAACTTATTTTCTTCATGATATTTGGTAAATTAAATTTGATTAGAATATTTTAAAATAACATCATCATATTCAGGTAGGTTATCTGTAGCTAGTCATGTAGTTTTGACAATAAAACTAGAAAATGCCTGCAACATAAATTCCTTTGCTTTTTATGTATTCAATAGTGACTACTGTATTCAAGTTGGATATGCTTAAATATGATTGATTTCATAGATATATTTGTATGTAATGCTTAGAGCAGTTGAGATTTTAGAGTATTTTGGATTTTCAGGTTAGACATGCTCAACTTGTATAGCTACTTGTTATAAATTGCACCTAAACATTAATTTGTTAAATAATATTTCATTTTAAAAATTGACTAATAGCTGTGTATTTCATTATTTCTCTAGTACAAGTTTTTATGGTTCTAGAAGTTAAGAGTCTTGCTGAAATAGTACTACAAAATAATTTGTAAATACCCCAGTGGATAGCTTGTCAAAGTAAGAGCCTCACAGATTTTCTGAAAAAAATAAATTCCTTTTTCTTGTATTTGCAGGAAATCTGTCAAGTTTAAATCGACTTGGTCTGAGATACAATAGACTGTCAGCAATACCCAGATCACTAGCAAAATGCAGTGCACTTGAAGAATTAAATTTAGAGAACAATAACATTTCTACTTTACCAGAGGTAAGAACTGGATTAGAGAAAATGAGACTTGATTGAAATTAGTCTACAAGATAATGCAGGGAAACTAATCAGTCTTAAAGCTGGGTCAGTATTTTGGCGACTAAGATTGTTTAAATAGTGAGTATACTATGGATGTATAGCCACCACTAAGATAGAAATTCTGAAGAAAGAAGAATGAGTGTAAAAACTTCTTAAAAAAAAAAAAAACAAAAAACTGTGGAGAGGAGTAAAACCAGAAGGAACTTCTGTGTGCTATATATCCCCCAGTTGACCGTGCAAATCTTTCTCATTATTTTGGGAACTGGCAGTATATACTACTAAGAAAAAGCTGTGTGGCTGGTTTTAAAACTCAGTTGTCCTATCCAATTCAGTTATAACAAGGTACTGTAGAAAGATGATAAATGGAAAGAACAGTCTCTATAGAATGCATTATTATTAGTTTAAGATTGGCTGCAGCTCTCATGTGACCCAGATTATTAACCTACTGATGCAGCAATATTAAATATATATTTTATTATATAGCAAGCACCAAAATCTTTTATTTTCAATGCATTGTTTTTGACTTGAGTTATATTAATGGTTCTATTAGGAAAATATTTGCACTTATTTTACTTACAGATTAAGAAATAATGCTCCTTTTAATTTCTTAATTGAAGACAATTTCACTCTTCATTAAAATAATGTGCTACTCTTTTCATACTCAACACATCTTGATGTTTATTCAAACATAGTATCTTATAGTATTCTAAAAAAATGAAACAGTTGAACTGTGGACTTACAAATTGATAGAGCTTTACAAAGTCTTTTTCTAACAAGTTAAAAATGGTTTTTACAAGACAGACAAGCCAAATGTTCTCACTTACATATGAAAATTTTACTATGTTGATCTCAAAAAAGAGTAGAATCATTACTACTAGAGGCTAGAAAGAGTGTGGGGCAGATAAAGGGATGTTGGGTAACAGATCCCAGAATACCAATAGAGAAGATGAGTAAGTTTTAGTACTCGCTACACAATAAGGCAACTGTAATTGCCATATATAAAAAAGTGTATGTACTATATATTTTATGAGGAAGTAATAGGAGTTCACAGACTACAAACACTAAGAAATAGAAATGATAAATGTAAAATGAGATGAAAATGGTAATTAAACTGATTTGGTCATTACATACCATGTATGTGTGTTGAATCATCACTTTGTATTCCATAAATATGCACAGTTATGTGTCAAATAAAGAGGAAATATGTTTATGAAAAAGAATGTTTATAAGCTGGATGTGGTGGTGTACATCTGTAAATCCCACCTGTTCATTACTCAGAAGATAGAGACAGGTAGGGTTGGAGTTGGAGGCATTCCTGAGTAAAGTTATTGAGAACTTGTCTCAAAAACAAAATAGGAAAAATAAAAGAACTGGGAGCGTGGCTCAAGTGGTATTGCTTGGCTTGCAATTGGGAGGCCCTAGTTTCAATCCTCAGCATCACTGAAATGGAAGATATGTCTTACTTAAAATGGTCCTGTTAGGTTTTGACTATTACTAGTTTTGCAGAGTGTGTGCATGTATGTATATAAACATATGCATATATTCATATTTTTCACATTTAAGCTTGAAGAAAACCATTTGGGTAAATGTACCTGTAGATTTCTGTCAAGTACTTTATAATTTAATTCGCTGGATTTGTTTCTTAGAGGGACAAATAATATAAAGTATTAATTTGGCCTTTATTATTTTGGGTGTTTTCATTTTCAGGGAACATCTTCTTCTTTTGCCTTTTCCTCCTGAGTTCTGGGGTTACAGGTATACACAACATGCCTAGCCCTAGGTTAACTTTTTGCATGCGGTATTTTATAACTGAAATAAATTCAAATTTTTTTAAACAGCAGTTTTAGGTTTACCAAAATTCAGTGGATGATCTAAGTTTCCTATATATCCCTGCATATATGTAGCTTTTCTCCCATACCAAGGAGACATATTTGTTATGGTTATAATTGATGACCATATGTGGACACATTTTGATCACTCAAAGTATGCTGTTTACACTCTTGGTGTTGTATATTCTGTGGTTTAAACAAAATTATAGTGACATATATCCACCATTACAGTATTATACAAAAGAAATCCATTATCCTAAAAGTCTCTGTGTTTAACCTGTTCATCCTTTCCTTCCCTCAATCTCTGGCAAGTGCTAATCGTTTTACTTTTGTTTTTAAATGGGTGGAGGGACGTCCCCACAAAATGTATTATATGCCTCGAGCATGGGAGTATTAGACTTATTTTTACTTTTGAGAAGAGGATGATAAAGAAGACAGTTCTTTAATCTGAATGTGAAAGGTTGTGTGGATGAATACCTGTGTACTTAAACTGGCTCATTTCCAAATAGAGATGCTTTGAGGAAAACCTTTTATTGGCCTTGTCCAAATAATGGGAAAGCATTAAATCTTATATAAAATTGTTTGTGCTTTGAAAGTGACATATTCTTAATGCAAAGGTATAATTTTCTGCATATATAATAAGCACAGTAAGGAAAATAAAATCCATTATACAGTACTTTGGAGACATTCAAGTGAGATTAGGTAAGAAAAATTATGAAAGTGATTTTCAGTGGCAGCTGATTATATTACTGAAGTCAGCTGGTAAAATGACAAAATTTTTTCAGTTTTAGACTGTCAGAAAATGGACTAGTTTTAATGTAGATAAGTACACATAAGGAAAAAAAACTTTAAGCACATATGTCAAGGCATGAAGGTAGGAACTCTGCATGTATTTTCATTGAATCTTCAGTATAACCCTGTGAGTTACTGGGATATTCTTGTTCAATGGAGAGGGAAGTAAGACTTGAGAGATGTAATGTTTTTGGCGAAATTTGTTACCTGAAATATTTTTCCAAAAATACATACTGAGTATCTAGTTAACTCACCAGAACTGACCAAATTATTAAGTAGAAGACCTAAGATAGGAACCCATGTTTCTGATTCTAAAGGAACTGATAAGCTACCTGCACATTTCACATTGTGATATAAAAAATAAAGGATTGAAGAGCTATGTTCCTGTTGCACCTTCTGTATATTCAGATGTTTTCATTTTGTGATAGAAGATTGTCAATTTAATAAAGTCAGTTACAAAATAAGAATGTTTTTGCCATGCAACTCAATAAAATAGATTGAAGACATTTTCCTAAGTTGACTGCCATGCAAGGTTTTCTCAAGCAACACTCTTAACCTGCACTCTTCCCTTTTTTTGTGTAAGGGTAGCCTAAAGAGCATGTTTCAGTGTACTATCTAACTGTGCCTTCATTTGTATAGTTACTTCATCCCTTCATTGCCAGTTATACTGACACCTCAGATGCTAAGCTAACTCTTCAGTTTACTCATGATGGACAGCTAAAGTTTGAGGCTTCTCCCTGCATTTGTCCTCCCCCCGCCCCCACATTGTGCTTGTTTCTTTTTCCTTCTGTGTTAATCTAGAATGTTTGTTTTTCCTACTCTTAAAGTACAAATGTTTTTCATCCTTCAAAAACAATGAGATTTTGAAGGATGTTCCTAGTTCCTCCTTCCTATGTTTCTAGTTATTCTAGTATTTCTTTCCTTTGAGGGATTTCTAATTTAAGCACTGAGTATACACCAGGTTTTGTACAATTATTTCTGTATTTTATTTTAGTCTTCACTAAACCTATAAATTAAGGAACTATTATTTTTTTAAAAGAATAAAGGTTCAGAAAAGCAGCTTGCCCACAGTCACAAGCTACTAAATAATAGAGCCAGAATTCAAAACTATTTTAGTGGCTTGTACAAGAGTTTCTCAAGCATTTTTAATGAGCATAAAATCACTGGGGAGTCTTTTGTAATGAACATTACAATTCCATGGGAGTGGACCCAGCCTGCATTTCTAGCAGGCATCCCAGGGGATGCTAATTTTACCTTCCTTGACCTAGAGCTTATTCTATATAACTTATTACTGATGATAACACAACTATGTATTCTAATTATTTCCTGTCTGTGTGCTTTATTTCCCTAAATAGAGTTTAGTGATAATGTCAGAGATTGTTTTGTATCTATACACTAAGCACTTTGGTTACATACATAATAGGAAGCTAAAGTGGGGAAGATAGGATTATAAATTCAGTAAATACTTGTTTAATAAATACTTGTAGTTCCTCAAATTTTACCATATAGGAAAATAGCATATTGTCCTTTATCAGGAAGTATAATCATTTTTTGAATCTGATATTGCTTAAAAAAAAAAAACAAAAAAAAAAAAAACCACAACTGGCTGACACTGCAGTTTCTTCTCTGTAGAGGTCTCAAACTGGCCATCCATGAGATACTTCTCACCTGAAAGCATGTTTTCTTTTATTCCATGGTGTTTAAAATAAAATGAAGCCAAAGAAAAAAAGAGAATTTTCTGTTGCTTGTGAAAGCTTACTCCACAATTTCTACCAGCAAGGCAACAACTTGTTAGTACTGAGTAGTTATTGTCCCTGTAGATAAGGTATTGCAGAACTAGCCCAACAGGTTCCTGTTGTTTGTTGCCTCCAAGGCCTTTTGAGGAATTTGTATTTGGAACTGCTATTACATTTGAAATAATATTTTTTTCACTTTTAAATCTTATACTTAATTTTGTTCTTTTACAGAGTCTGTTATCAAGTCTTGTAAAACTGAATAGCTTGACGTTAGCTAGAAATTGCTTCCAGTTGTATCCAGTGGGAGGTCCATCTCAGTTTTCCACCATTTACTCCCTCAACATGGAACACAATCGAATCAATAAAATTCCATTTGGAATTTTCTCCCGAGCAAAAGTACTAAGTAAGCTGAATATGAAGGTAAGCATCTGTTGTGTTAGGAGAGGGGAATTACTCTAATTCCAGTATTTATATTTTCTCTGTTGGTGTAGAAAATAGGTACTTACTCCTTATTGATGGAGTCTAAATTGATAACAGAATACTCAGGAGTCTTCATTCCCACTTCTTGCATAGAGAGCAGAAAATGTGCCCCTTCCCCAAATTTCTCCCCAGTTAATCCTATTACACTAAAATATATCTTTGCTAAAACTTAAAAATTGTTTTATCAGATAACAAGTGTCTTAGAACTCTGTCTGCATACCCATAGGGATTTGTCCCTAAGAAATAATCATAAATGGCTGCAGAAGTGTAGTTGCAAGGATATTTATTATAGAACTGTTTCATTTCATGGGTACCAACTATTAAATGCTAATAAGGATTTAATTCTTCTAAGTAATGTATCTCAGTGGAATATTTTAGAGCCACCAAAACTGATACTCTAGGCTAGAAAAATATTAAATAAATATCAGTTGCAATATTCTGAGTTTATTAAGTAGAAGAACATGTAAAAATCTCTTCCCAGTTTCTAAGACAATTTTTAATATAGTTAATTATATATTAAATACTTAAACTTCAGTACCACAAAAAAAAAAAAGTGATAAATACCTGTATATTCAAATACATATAGCCAATGTTTTCCAAAATACAATGTTTTTCTTTAGGTATCAGTTATTTATGGGTGAACTTCAGTTTCTTTTTGCTTATCTATATACTCTATATTAAATGGGCCTCACATTTATAATAAAGCTGATTGTGAAAAGAGAAAAGAAATAAAAAGTTATTTAGTCCAGTGATTTAGTTTGTAATGAATAAGCTTTAGGCCTAGAGAAGAGAACTGAGTTCATCACATAGCTATTTCATGGCTAAGGAAGGAATCCAGAAAATTTAGGTTTTCTTATTTAAAGGGGTAGAGGAGTACTGGGAGTTGAACTCAGGGCCTCAGCTTATTAGGCATTCTGTACCATTTGAGCCCTGTCCCCAGCTGTTCTTGCTTTAGTTATTTTTGGGGGTAGGGTCTTGTGTTTTTGCCCAGGCTGGCCTGGGCCACGATCCTATTTATACTTCTCATGTAGCTAGGATGACAGGAACCTGCTAACATTCCAAGCTTTTGGTTGACATGGGGTCTTGCTAATGTTTTGTCTGGGCTGGCTTCAAACTATGATCCACCTTAGTCACCTTAGTCACCTTAGTCAGCCTAGGTTTCTTGATTCCAAACAGTGTATTTCTGTCATGTACTACATCTTTTTGTCTTTGATGTACCATTCAATTTAATCGCGGTCCTTTATAATCTAAATACATAATTTCTTAGTTGTAACTACACTTGGTCATAAATGTAGTATGTATCTTTTATAATTCTTTGAATGTTTGTAAGTGAACTAGTAAGTTTAAGATAATATAATCTTAAGCATAAAATTCGTTAACCAGTCTAGTTATATGATTAATTTTGCAGTTATAGTTATTAATGCAGTAATAAGAGCATTAATTCTGTGTTTATTTTTTAATAGGTATAGAACACAATGGTCCAGGCGGTCTTTAGTTTCTGTATTTGATTATACATTTTTATGGATCTGGTCATTACAGTGTTAAGTTTAGAAAGGCTTACTGTTTTCAGTAAAATAAAAATAAAACTTTACATAGAGCTTAGCATTACTTTTTCCTCAAACATAATAAATGTTTAACAATAACTTTTTCTTGAAGGAGTCAAAATGAAGCTTCACAGTTTCCTCCACTACAAGCACCAGTAGTAAATTTTTGTAAGCTAGTACTGTAACTATTATTAGTTGGGGTGTAGGTAAGTAATATTTAAATATTATAGCAATAGATAATAAAAGATTTTTCAAGTGGATATTCGCTAATTGGGAATTTTATGAATGTTTTTTGTAAAATAAAATGAAAACTCCATGTAAATATAGAAAAATGCAGATTAACAAGAGAATGTTGGAGATGTGACTCATCTGATAGAACACTTGTCTAGCAAGCATGAGAGCCCTAAATTCAAACCCACTACCACCAAAAATAATAATAATAATAATCCTGTCAAGAAATTAACATGTTGGATATACCATTGATACCCACCTGGGACAGGTATGCAGTCATCCACTCCCATTTCCAATATCCCTAACATACAGTGTGGTGATGGAGATGTTTCTCAGTGCCCCCTTAATTGTTTAAGCATAATAGTGGGGAAACTGGAATTGGGGGAAACTTCCAAAGCTTCCCACTCTGGTCAACTCCAGTTCCTTTCTGTAGATATGCATTTGGAAAGTGAACATGTGGAAACAATAAAAAGGTAGAGGACCAGTTAAAATTTCTAAACAAAATTAGGATCATACATTTTATCCTCTGTTTTTATTAGTTAATGATGAATATATCTTATAATCTCATAGATTTTTAAAGTGAAATTGTAGATTCTTAGTGTTTCAGTGATTTAATTTGCTGTCCTAAGACTGTGTTTTCTCTTCTACTTTACTATTCAGCATCTCTAGAATTCCTGTGCTCATCTGGGTTTCTTTTTAGGCTATGATGTGTGTCTTCTTCCATTGTGCTCATATCCTAATTTGAACATTAACATTTTATTCGGTGATTTCTGTACATTATTGTAAAATGTGCAAAATATTTACCACTAGAATCTTTGAAATCACATATGGTTTCTCTGTATAGTGTATTTTTTTTTCTATTTCTATTAAAATATTCACATTAGAAATAACCTTCCAATTTAGTGTCAAAACAAAGATCTGATTACTAAAAATTTTGAAAGGTCAGTATTTTTGTTCCTAAGTTTGTTTTTTCTCTCCTCTTTTCTTTCTATAGTTATCGACAAAGGGAATGTTTTCTATTTAAGAATTTTCTTTCCAAAAAGAATATGGAACTTTGTTTTTGTGGTTCTACCTAGAATGATTTGTTTTGTCTTTGCTAGGACAATCAGTTGACATCTCTTCCTTTGGATTTTGGAACTTGGACCAGTATGGTTGAATTGAATTTAGCCACAAATCAGCTTACAAAGATCCCTGAGGATGTTTCTGGTCTAGTCTCTCTAGAGGTGAGTGAGTACAGATGAGCATTTAGAACTCTTCATGACTTTCCACAGTTATTTTCACTTATAAAGTTTCAAGATAACATAGCATTTTCTAATTGGGTGAAGATCATAATTTAAAATGATCATAAATAGAGCTCTTTTAGGCATACAACCTTACTGGGATGTGAGGTTTTAATTAGTCTAGGTTCGATATAGTAAGCCTGCCTTACTTGCAGATTGGTTACATGTAGTTTTGACCAAACACAGTCAAGAATAAACATAAGAATACATAAATCAAATTTCAGAAACAACTTGTAAATTTCTTTGTACACATTACCTGCCTGGATCAGTTGCAGAGAAACTCTCAGTCCCATGTTATCATTGGTCGTATTGAAATCATTTTGTCATCTGTTGCGTGTTCCCCTGCACTTAATTTTGTGAAAATACGCTTCTTAACAAACAAATGGTATCAAAAAGCGAGATAAAAGTTATGGTAATGCTTCTAGCCAGAAAAGGCATATAATGTGCTTAATTTAAGTGATAACATGAAAATTTAGATTTAGTGAAGTTGGGCGGCTTTTAGTGATTTAGTTTACTGTACTAAGAATATTTTTGTCTCCTCCTTTATTCACCATCTCTAGAAATCTTGAGCTCATCTGGGTTTCCTTTTAGGCTATGACATGGGTCCTTCACTGGAAAAGTGAATCAAGCATTTGAAATAAAAAAACATGAAATCAGTTCTAGTTTTTAGTGAGCAGTATTATTGAATACAATGATAATTTTTGTAACAGTAATATAGCATATTCCATGTGGGTTCAAGTTAAGGAGACTCAGACCTAGTATAGGTGAATTTGAGTGATTTTAGAGTACTGAACTTTAATTTTAATTTGCAGTTTTCTTTAATGGCAATCTCCTTAGACCTGTAGATGCCAAGGGTCTACTCTACTTCTGAATTACTCTTGTCCACTAAAAGTTGATAAGTTTCAATGCTGCAAAGTATCTTTGCAAGGAAACTCTCTAAAATGTAGCATCGTTAATATGTAATGTTTTTCCTTAATTCTCTTTAAGAAATACAACATTGCCCACCAAAATAATTATGGGTTATTCAGATTGGCATTTAGAACCTTTCGTGCTATGACTCTGACCTAATCACCTACCTACTTCTTTTTTTTTTTTTCTTTTTAGTGGTACTTGGAACCTACCTACTTCTTGTTAAAATGTAGTGTCCACATTTCTCCTTCTGTATGTTTATTTGTATTGTTCCAAGTTCCTAGAATATGCTCTTCATTATCCTAGGTTTTTCTTTCACAAACCTTTTTCTATGTTATTGTTACTTCTTTAGTCATGAATGAATTGCCCCTGCCTCTGAGTACCTAGAATGTTCATCTTTTTGATGAAAAGGCTTACTAAAATAGTATATATACTGTTTTAAAATTTTTCTCTATCCCATATTTTTTAAAAGTCCTATTAAATAATGTGAAATAATATGGTGTGATGGCTAAAAGCATTGGCTTTAAGGTCAAACAGATCTGGGAACAATTCCAGTTTGATCTCTTTAGAGTTTAACCAATCCAAACTTTGTTTTGCTGATGTGAAATGAGGATAATAGTACTTTACAGAATTGCAGTTGGGATTAAATGCACTTCTGCATATAATACTTTAGGTACAGTGTTCTGCAAATAATAAACTCAAATAGTAGTTATTTTCTTGATTGTATTTTTTTGTCTTATTGCATATGATAATAATGGGTTGTATAACTTTGTGGGAAATAAGTGAACATAAAAATTAGCTAAAACTTTATGTATATCTGTCCACTTAGTACTCTTTCTACTATCCCAATCCCATTATTGTCTCCCTACTCCATTACCAGTTTATAACTTCTTGAGAACAAGGATGATCTTTCTCAGTCTTTTTTTTTTTTTTTTTTCTTTCTGCACTGTCTTTTAGGAAACCTTGGAACATAGTAAATGCTACAAATAATAACTGCAATGGGTTTATAGAGGTAGTTATAAGTTATACTTTCCTTAAGTGATTATTTGTAAGGGATTTAGAATAAATAATCAGTTGCTGTTAGACAATATATACAGTATTATTATTCAATATCAAAACACATTAGCTATATGAATCTCAGTACAAATAATACTTTAAGAATATTTTTTGTAATGTAGTTAAAATTATTTCCTTTGGAATAGGGAAAAACAGAAAAAACCAAAATGACTGGAAATACCTACCTTTCAATATTAATATTGAATGTTGATGGCCTCAATTCCCCAATTGAAAGACATAGAATAGTAAGTTGGTTTAAAAAGCAAGACCAAGCCATTTGTTGCTTATGAGAAATACATGTCACTGGCAATGACAATGAGTTAGAGTGAAAGGGTGGAAAAGATCTGAGCAAACAGACCCAAGAAAAAGCAGGAGTATCTATATACTCGTGTCTGATAAAACAGACTTCAGATGAAAATTAGTCAGAAGAGACAGTGAAGTTCACTTCATATTGATAAAGGGAACACTTCATCAAGAGGAAATAAAATTTCTTTATGTGCACCAAGCATTGGTGTGCCCAACTACATTTTAAAAACAAAAAAACTACTGCATTCAAAAGCACAGATAAAGACTCTAGACTCCAACACAGTAATAGTGAAAGATTTCAGTACTCCACTCTAACCAATAGATAGGTCATCCAGATGAAAGTCAACAAAGAAACCTCAGAATTAATAGACACACTACACCAACTGGACTCAACAGACATCTGCAAGGTATTTCATTTAGATACTGCACAATACACAGTCTTCTCAGCAGACCATGGAACTTTCTCCAAAACAGATGATGTTTTAGGACAGAGAGCATGTCTTAACAAATATGACAGTTAAAATAATTCTCCATTTCCTGTTAGATGACAATGGAATAAAAGTAGAACTGAACCACAAAAGAAACTACAGAAAATAATCAAACACATGGAGACTAAACAACAAATTGGTGAATAACCAATGAATCATTGTCTTCAAATAAGGGGGGTGAAGCCCAGAAGTTCCTAGAACCTAATGAAAATGAAAACACATTCCAGAACCTATGGTGTAAAGTAAAGTAAAGTTAGTGTTAAGGGAGTACCTGCATAAAAACAAACACACACAAAGATGTATCAGATGACCAAGTGCTGCACCTCAAATTCCTAGAAACAAGCTAAGTCCAAAACTAGCAGAGAAAAATAATAAAAATGTGGGCCAGAACAGATAAAATAGAAACCAAAAAAAGATAGCCAATAAAACAAGAATTGGTTCTTCAAAAGGATAAATAAGATTGATACACCCTTAGACAATCTCACTGAAAGGAGGAAGGGAAAGACTCAAATTAATAAAATTAGAGATGAAAAAGGGGATATCAAAACAAATACCAATGAAATCCAGAAGATGATTAGGGAATACTTCTAAAACCTGTATTCAAATGAACTGGAAAATGTAGAAGAAATTGATAAATTTCTAAATGTATTTGAACAACTAAAATTGAGCCAAGAGAACATAATTTATCTAAATAGATTTATGGCAGGCAATGAGATTAAAGTGGTATCTCCCAACAAACAAAACCCAGAACCTGAATTCTACCACATCTTTAAACAAGAACTAATACCAACATTCCTCAAATATTTCCATGGGATAGAAAGGGAAGGAATACTACCAAATTCACTATATGAAGCCAGTATTATTATCATTCCAAAACTAAACAAGGATGTGAAAGAAAAATTACAGGCCAGTCTCTAATGAACATAGACACAAAAATTCTCAGTAAAATACTGGTAAGTAGAATTCACAACACATCAAAAAGATCATACACCATGATCAAGTCAGTTTCATTCCAGGCATGCAAGGATGTTTCAGCATATGTAAATCAATAAAGCAGAAGCAAGGACAAAAACACATTATCATCTCAATTCTACCTCCAGATTGAAGGCTTTGAAGAAATAGGAATAGGAAGAATGTACAACATAATAAAGACTGTAGACAGCATCATACTAAATGGGGTGGAACTGAAACCATTTCCTCTAAACTCAGGAACAAGAAGAGGATGTTCACTCTCCCCCCCCCTTATTCAATATAGTTTTAGAATTCCTAACCAGAGCAATTTAGACAGGTGGAAGAAATAAAATGGTGATTCAAATAGGAAAGGAAGAAGTCAAATTATTATTTGCAGACAATATGATCTTACACCTAAAAGACCTAAAAACTCCTTCAAAAATATTTAGACACTTGCAGCAAAGTAGCAGGATACAAAAATCAATATACCAAAAGTCAGTAGCTCTTCTATATACCAATGATTAACAGACTGAGAAAGAAATCAGGTAAACAATCCTCAAAAAAAGTCTAGGAATAAATTTATTGAAGGAAGTGAAAGATCACTGCAATGAAAACTGCAAATCACTGAAGAAATTGAACAAAATACCAGAAGATGGGATGATCTCCCATGCTCGTGGATCTGCAGAATCAATGTGGTAAAAATGGCTATACTACCAAAAGCAATCTGCAAGTTCAGTGCAATCCCCATCAAAATTCCAATGACATTCTTCACAGAGATAGAAAAATCAATCCTAAAAATCTTATGGAAGCACAAAAGATCCATTGGGGGTTTCACAATACCTGACTTAAAAATTATACTGTAGAGCCATGGCAATAAAAATGGCATGGTACTGGCACAAAAACAGACAGGAAGACCAGTGGAGAGCAGAATAGAAGACCCAGACATAAATCCACACAGATAAAGCCATCTTATTTTTAATAAAGGAGCCCATAAGGTACATTGGAGAAAAGACAGCCTGTTCAACAAATGGTGCTGGAAAAACTGGATATTTGCATGTAGAAGACTGAAATCTTGATCCCTGTCTTTCACCTTGTACTAATATCAATTCAGAGTGTATCAATGACCTAAGTGTAAGACCTAAAACTTTGAAACTACTATAAGAAAGACTAGGGAAAACACTGAAACGTACAGGCATAGGCAATGACTTCCTCATAGAACTCCAATAGTTCAGCAATTAAGAGAAAGGATTGACAAATCAGACTGCATCAAACAAAAACACCTCTGCACAGCCAAGGAAATAGTCACTAGACCAAACAGTCTAGAGAATGGGAAGAAATCTTTAAGTATATATCTGACAAAGAATTAATCACCACATTGTACAGGACGCTCAAAAACTATATCCCCCAGAATCAACAACCCCATTGAAGAAATGGGAAAATGAAATGAACAGACAATTTTCAAAGGAAGAAGTAGAAATGGCCAATAAATATGTGAAGAAACGCTCAACATCCCTGGCCATAAAGGAAATGCAAATCAAGACCACATTAAAGCGTCACCCCGCTTCAGTCAGAATGGCAAGCATTATGAACATAACAAATGTTGGCAAGGATGTGGTAAAACAGAAACCCTTATATACTGTTAGTAGGAATGTAAATTAGAGCAACTGCCATGGAAAGTAATTCTAAAAACAGAACTAGCATATGATCCAGCAATACCACTTCTGGGCATATATCTGAAGGAATGTAAGTGTAGAGACACTTGCCAATCCATGTTCAGTGCAATACCATTCACAATAGTCAATTTATGGAAACAGCCCAGATACCCTTCAACTAATGAACAGATTAAGAAAATGTGATACGTATACACAGTGGATTATTACACAGCCACAAAGAAGAATGAAATTGAATCATTTTCAGATAAATGGATGGAACCGGAGATCTTCAAGTTAAGTGAAAGAAGCCAGGTTCAGAAAGATAAAGGTCGCGTGTTTTCTCTCATGTGGAAGATAGATCCAAATTTAAGTGAATGCACATATACAGACATAATCTCTCAATTTGTCTCTCTCTCTCTCAAACACACACACAAAAGGAAAATGTTTGCAGTAGTTGGAGCTATTTGATGGGACTAGGAGGAGGAGGAAGAGGAAGACAGAATGATAGTGAATAATTGAAATACTTCCATGTAAGAAGATGGTATAAAGAAACACAGAAAGTTGTTAAATAATAGGGGGTAATGGCAGTAGATTAAGGAAGAGTAATAAAGGTGGTTAATCTTATTACAGTACAGTATATTCGCAGGTGAAATACCATGGTGAAACCCATTCGAATAATGAATATTCACTTGAGAAAACGGACAGGAAAGTAAAACAAGTCCTACTAGGGGTTGGGTACTAGTAGGAGGATGAAAGTGGTTAATGTATTTTATATACTTGTATGGAAATAAAACCTGTTGAAATCATTTTAAGTAGGGAGGAGGGAAATAAGAAAGAATGATGGTGGGGTGAACCTAACTGAGATATATTGTAGGCATATGTGGAAATGTCACATTGAAACCCCCTCTACTAATATACTAATAAAAATGTTAAATAAAAAAAATTCCTTTATTTTCATTAGTTTTGACATAATTGAGTAATCATCTTCCACTAACTATGGTGGGTTATTTTTTTAATTTTTAGACTAGTTAATTTAAAGTTTTATGTTTTTTTTTTCTTTTATTCATATGTGCATACAATGTTTGGGTCATTTCTCCCCCCTTCCCCCTCCCATACCACCCCGCCCCCTCCCTCTTCCCCCCTACCCCCTCATTATCAGGCAGAAACTATTTTGCCCTTATCTCTAATTTTGTTGAAGAGAGAGTATAAGCAATAATGGGAAGGACCAAGGGTTTTTGCTTGTTGAGATAAGGATAGCTATACAGGGAGTTGACTTGCATTGCTTTGGTGTGCATGTGTGTTACCTTGTAAATTAATTCTTCTTGAACTAACCTTTTCTCTAGTTCTGGTTCCCTTCTCCTATTGGCCTCTGTCACTTTAAAGTATCTGCATTAGTTTCTCTGCATTGAGGGCAACAAATGTTACCTAGTTTTTTGGGTGTCTTACCTGTCCTCATACCTCCCTTGTGTGTTTTCGCTTTATCATGTGATCAAAGTCCAATCCTCTTGTTGTGTTTGCCCTTGATCCAATGTCCACATATGAGGGAGAACATATGATTTTTGGTTCAAATTTTATGTTTTAAAATTGAATGTTAACCCTTGATGTTCACTGTCTGGGAAATTAGCATTGCTCAATAAATCTTAATCACACACAGTAATATATAATATCACTTCATGAGTTGCAGATATTATCAATAATTTTTCTTTAGGTTCTAATATTATCAAACAATCTTCTAAAGAAGCTTCCCCATGGTCTTGGAAACCTTAGAAAGTTAAGAGAGTTGGATCTTGAAGAGAACAAATTGGAGTCCTTGCCAAATGAAATTGCTTATCTTAAGGATTTACAGGTAAAACATTATCCCGATGACTTTATTATTGCATGATTAAAGTTTTTGGAATCCATTGCAAATTGCACATAAATTTCTATTATAGCATTATGGTGAATTTGTGCAGATAACCTTTCTGCTTTTGTCCTCCTTACAAATGATACATCTTGAAAGAAAACCCTATAAATTTAGTGAGTCTCATCCAATTTCATTTCCTTGTTAATTTATTTTATTCTTTAGTCAATGTGTTATTTTAATTTTCCATCAGTTGTTAGAATTATCTATGTAACTTTTATTTTGTTAATCTTTTAGAAATTAGTTTTGACAAACAACCAGTTGAGTACTCTTCCCAGAGGCATTGGTCATCTTACCAATCTCACACATCTAGGCCTTGGAGAGAACCTACTCACTCATCTTCCTGAGGAAATTGGTAGGAACTGAATGGATGCTTCACTCTGTACTAATAATTTATTCTTGTGCTTTCCAACAGTATTTCAGATAAGTTTAACAAATGTATTTTTGTAAACTTAGACATATCAGGTTTTAAGATTTTTTAAAATAGAGTACCAATAGTTGGTGTTGGTTGGTTGATACTGGTTAAATTTTCCTCATGAGATACTGGGATTAATACTGTATTTGAGAATGATTTAGTATATAGTATTTCTAATAGGTTTTATGTAATCCCAATTTAGTTGCTTCCAACTTTAAAAATGATTCAGGCTTGAATTAAATTACACTGAAAGAACATTTCTCTTTTGTTCTGTTTGGTTTTGTTTTTAATTAACCAGTATATTATTTTCTTATTGGCTTTTTGGGGTTTTTGTTGTTGTTTTGAGAAAGGATTTCTCTCTGTGTTGCCCACACTGCTCTTGAGCTCCTGGTCTCAAGTGATCCTTTCACTTCAGCCTCTCAAGTATATGGTACTACAGGGGTATGCCAGCATCCCCAGCTTCAGAAAGAATATTTCTTTATGGGGCTTTAGGGTTAATATTAATATTTGATTAATATCAGTATCTAGATGTATGTCAGAATTTTTCCAACTGTTTTTTATCCGTTATTTCATATATTCAACATGACTGTCATAAATTTTTAGGCAGCACAAATTGTTTTCCAAAGAGAGTTGATTGACTTTGCCTAGTGATTAAGCAGTAGTTCTTAAATTAACAAGTCTTTGTATTATGTTCTGCTATCTATGGTGTGCTGTCCCAGGATCACTATAGATAAGTAGTGAAGAATGATTTTGAGATGGTAGACAATTTAAAATCTGACTCTGCCACTTACCAGCTTTGTTACTTTAAGCAAGACACTTAAACTCTGTGAGCCTCTAATTTCTACCTATAAAATAAGAAGAGTTAGTGGATCGCAGGTGTTCCTTAAGCAGCAAACCAACTGCTTTGTAAGCACAGTGTTCAGTTAAAACCAAGTACCATCAAAAAAAAAATTAAGAGTTATAAGTTAGTTCTTACAGGTTTATTCTAAAATTTAAGTATTTTACGTGTATATAAATCCATTACCTGCTGTGTTAGTTTTACTACTTTTCTAATAAATATCACTGTCAGATAATCCAAACTTTGACATTTAATATTAGAAATATATGAAATAAGTTTACACTTATCTTCTTAGTGTATTTATTTAGCTGGCCTCATTTAAGTGCTTGAGAAATTTTGACTATGCTAAGACAGTCTAAGAAAAGTTTGAAAGTCTGCATATATTGATTTTAGCTTACAACCAAATATGATTGTTGTCCTATAATACCAAATAATAAAAGCTGTCCACATTGTATTAATGTGAGAAAGTGTCATAAGGTCATTGTAAACATTGAATATTATAATAATTTCTAGAATTTTAAAAATACATCACGAATGCTAAGCTGTCAGAGTTTCTGAAGTTGAAGCATTTTCAGAAAACTCCAAACATAAAACAACCATAAAAAAAAAGGGTTCGATTTTGTTGGTATAAATTGTGGTCAAGGCATGTTGGTTTTTTAAAAAATCTCTTAATTTAATATGCAGCAAAGTTTTACCAAGGGAACAGATTAGAAATAGGTATTAAATATATGTGGTGTCCAGGATATGCACAGGTGAACTTTTTTAAGCTGATTTTTACAAAGTAACTGTTTTGTTTTGTTTTTAAAACAGGTACACTGGAGAACCTAGAAGAACTGTATTTGAATGACAACCCCAACCTGCATAGCCTTCCCTTTGAGCTGGCTCTCTGCAGCAAACTTTCAATCATGAGTATTGAGAACTGTCCACTTAGTCACCTTCCACCTCAGATTGTTGCTGGGGGACCTTCTTTCATCATTCAGTTCTTAAAGATGCAGGGTCCATATCGTGCCATGGTTTGATAGAAATCTGCTGGTCCCACACACTGTTCAAAAATAAGCTGCCATTGATGTTTCATATCTGTATCTATCTATGTAGATATTGATATATATGGCAGATTTATAAAGACTGCATTATGTGTTTCTGCTAATAGAGGAATTATAGCCATTTAGATTTTTTTTTAATTCTGTACAAAAAAAGGCTTATGTAAGTTTTCTTTGCTAAATTTGATAGATGTTTTTCCTTTGTGTAATCTGAAATACCAGTTTGTGTAAAAAAACTTGCCAGCAAATTATGAAGTTACTAAAATTTAAGGAACAGAGATAGTATAGTTAGCTATCTTTTCTCTTAAGAAAAATACGGCCAAGGCTTTTGTTGGAACTTTTCATATATATTTTCCCAATACCAATTGTCAAATCTTCATAGTATCTTAGGCCCTGAAACTAGAATTTTTCTTTAACTTATTTTAAAATTGGAGATTTAAATTTTATATATTCTTTATAGTCAGAGGAAATCACTGGAATTTTTTGTTCGTTTTGATTTGCTCTGTTCTAATCAGTCAAAATTAGAGCTTAATCCTCTTAAAGAATTTGCATCAGTTGGTTTAAATATTAAATATTTGTTTTGTTTGAAACAACTGGCAAAATGAAAATATATGATCAGAAATCTAGAATTCCATTAATTTTGCTTCTCTGATGAACTGTGAAGCAAAAGATCTGAAGTAAGTTTTTTTTTTTTTTGGGGGGGTGCGGGGGAGTATTGAAATCTTCCCTAGTATAAATGTTTTCTTAACTTGGAAGAACAGAAACTTGTGAAAAAAATTTTTTTTATTCCTAAGAGTTGCAGAGCCACAAAAACTTAACAGAGAAATTTGGCAAATAAATAAATTACACACAAACACATTCTATATATGTATATACAATGCTATATAGATATGTATTTATTATATCATAAACTACAATAGGTAACTTTGAGGATTTTTCCCTATCCTTGTACAATGAAATGAATGTCTTTCTTTGAAAACTGCAATATATGTATGTTTCAAGGTTATTTAACAGTGTACTATGGTTTTATATCTTGACTTGCCTTGTACATCTTTCTGTTTTGGAATATCTGTGTCTTAAGCACAATATCTTCACACTGTGCTATATTGCTGCTGAACTAAATGCACTTTTCCCCAAATATGGGGCACTGGCTTCAAACAATTCAGTTCAGTACCATTACTTTTAATCTCATCTCTTCTCTCTTGGTAGTTGGTAATACAGTTATGGAAAAGAGGCACATTGCATAGAAGCCATTGGTAGTTCTGTGGAAGTTATGTCAGATGTGCATGTCCTATTTAATACATTTTCTTTCTTTAGCTTTTCTGCCTTTTAAGACTAGCAAAATTGTAAATGTGTGCCCCTTATATAGTGCTGTTCTTTTTGGTAGTGTTGGTCTTAAGTCAGTTTAATTATTGAGAAGACTTACAGAGCAAGTGCATTCTAGTTATCATTCTGAAAACACTTACTATATAATGAATAACTATTATATATAATTACATATTGCTGCTTGGGTTTTCTTTTCCCCCCCCTTTCCCCCCAATTTTGTTGGGCATTGTGTTCTAAACAAAACTTTTTTCTTTAATTAAGACTATAATATTAAGAGAAATTTGGACTCTTTTGCTTTTTCCTGGCATTCAAGGTCAGGACTAGGTTTGAAGTCAAATCTACATTCATAACTGGCAATTTTATAAAGAACAAATAAAAAAAATGTAAGGCAGGTAAAGATATAAAACCCTAGAATGCTTAAATGTGCTGTAAACTATTGTAGATGTCACTGGATTTTACCAAGTAATATCCTTTCTTTTTTTCCATCTACTGTGGCTTTTCAGTTAAATTTTTGTTTATAAAAGGAATTTGTTTATTACAGCTCTACCTAGAGCTTGTGTGTATGTGTGTTTTTTAAAAAAATCTCCTTATCTGGTATGTTTATATATTAAGATGATGGAACTTGGACTTTAAAGGTAGTAGTCTGTTGTCTTTTTTTCTGGTTATTATTTCTCAAAATGAAAATAGTTTTTAAAGCAATTTGTTTCCCTTACCTTTGTTTATATTAATCTACAACAGAAGTATAAAATTATCCCAATCTTACATATAGAAGCAATGCTTCTATGATAACTGTAAAATCTAAGCAATGTGTAGTTTTTTAAAAATTTTTTATTTTAAAATGAATAAGACGTATCTTCTGTATGGATGGCACCTTGTAAAAGCCCATTAATTTCACTATATCTTTTACCAAGACACTAGAATGGACTGTAGTTAGGATATCCTTGTGGAATCAAGATACTGAAATAGTTTGAAAATAATAGAACATTGTTGAGTAACTACATATGAGCTAATCTTTTTCCCTCAAATTGCAGTGGGACTAATTGGCAGATCCAGAAAATTTACTTTCTTTTAAAGAAATTATGTTAATTTCTGAGGTTCAGTAAATAAAATGAGAGAATGTTGTACTGCAAAACATTGATCTAAACTTTGATTTGTTAATCCATAGCAAGAAAATGGGCAATAGTAATATCAAAAGTTTTTCTTTTGTGTGAATTTAGCACTTTCTAAATTCCAAATGACTATTTCATACACAAAGAAAAGGTTGATGCTGAATCATTTATGGATTTGGATGCTAATGAAAACAGTGGAAGATAGAAAACTCGGGAGGAAAATGCGCTAAACTGTTCATTTGTTCTTATATTTAAAAGGTTCATAATGCCATTGGAATGAGCTCTAAAAATATAATTGTAAATTTCTAATTTGTCTTGTATAGCCTGAGTCATTTAAAATGGATAAACTGAATGGGTGCTGGTGGCTCACACCTGCAATCCTAGTTTCTTGGGTAGCAGAGATCAGGAGGATTGCAGTTCAAAGCCACCTAGGTAAATAGTTGTGAGACTCTGTCTCAAAAAAACCCATCACAAAAAAGGGCTGGTGGACTGGGTCAAGGTGTAGGCCCTGAGTTCAAGCCCCAGTACCACCAAATAAATAAATAAAATGGATAAACTCTTATGCATCACATTTTATCTAGTTATTTGTGATAACATTTGATATAGCCCTTTGTTTTTCATCTTTTATTTTGAAGCCATGTATATTGAGCCCGAATTTCAGCTTGCAAAATTTATAAATATTTATTAGTAAGAGTGAGTAATAATTAAGTATATAAAATGGGATACTTTGAAATTGAAAGGGAAAGGGCATTATCAGTAATTTTGGGGGAACTGACAGCCATTATCAGAATTCTCTCAGGCAAATCAATACATTTGGTCACTTTTGCAAAGCAAGTGGCACAATCCAAAAGAAGCAGGATAAATTCCTGAAGTCTAATTTAGCTGAAACAAGTAACTCATGAAGAATGTTTTTCTTCTTCCTGTTCAGAGGATAAGATAGCATACCAAAACTTTTGCTTTACTCTTTTGATCAGTTTAGCCTTCACATTTGGGAATTTGGCAAAAGCTTGACAAACCATTGGTTGATTATCTAGTCTCTTGAGAATTTGAATAGGGCAAAAAATATGACATTGATTTGGTATCTAAAGGAGTATCTTGTATGTAGTGTTAAGAAAATACAAGAATGACCTGGCACTGGTGGTTCACACCTGTAATCCTAACTACTTAGAAGCTGTTTGGGAGGCTGAAATTGAGGGAATTGCTGTTTAGCGGCTAGCCCAGGCAGAAAAGTTTGTGAGACCCCATCTCAAGCAATAACTGGGCACAGTGGTATGTGTTTGTCATCCTAACTTTAGCAAGAAGCCTAAAATAACATTGCTGTCCATACTGGCTTGGGCAAAAAGCATAACCCTGTCTTAAAACTAATCACAGCAAAAAGAGCTGGATGTGTGGCTAAGACAAGCCACTGCCCAACAAGCGTGAAGCCCTGAGTTCAAACCCCAGTACTATCAAATACATAGTACATATATATGAATATCAGTGTTTTAAATAGCTATCAGTACTTTGTTATTAAATGCCTTTTTGTAACACTAGTTTTGAAGAAACATTTCTGGGTTTATTTTTTAAGTCTTAAAAATAGGGTATTAAAAAAATTTTTTTAATGGAGTTGGTTTTCATTACCCTGATACTTTCTTCTAGTACTCGCTTGTTAATTATCCCACTAACACTGTACATTCTCCATATAAACTGCTTTGAATATGAATACCTGTTTGTGATTAAGACTTTAAGAAGATAGTAGATTATAGTATTTCAGATTGGGTACTTTTTCACATTTGGGAGGAGAAAGTCTCTGAAGTTGGGGACAGGGCTGTCCTGTAACAGATTTTATAGTTTGTGCAGCTATGACAGTATTATGTGTTGGGGGAAGGTGTTCATTTACATCTTTGGCTTGTGTATTTATTGTGACAGGTTTTTTTTTTTTGTTTTAGCAGATGTTAGTAAAGTTCCTAGTTTTAACAAAGTTAGTATGTTATTTCAAATATCTGACAGATGGACATAAGGAGTCTTGAGAGGAGCTATTTAGCTTTTTCTCATTTGCACAGTGGTACTAATTTGACTAGACTAGAGAGATTCAGTCTTTGTGCAACTTATTAGAGCTCTGTTCTAAACAGTTCTAATAGTGGAGTAATATTTAAATGGCAGTAGGACATTGTGTATAGTATGTATACTCTGAAAAATCTAATTTATCAGTGACTGTCTTAGATTTCTTGTGTGTTATGCATCATGATTTTAAAGAAATTAATCTGTTCATTTAGCTAGTACTTTAAAAATCTGTTGTCCTCTACTAAAGAGAGTATTATATTTATGGTTTAAATAATTATTTTAAGATTAATCTTTAATAGAGAATATATTAATATATATTCATTTTCCGTTCTTCCACTTCACTTTTTTTTCCTTTTTTTTTTCTTGATAGTACTGGGGTTTGAGCTCAGGGCTACTATCTTAAACCAAGTCTCCAGCTCTTTTTTGGTTTTCTTTTTGGAAAGGTTCTTAACATATTTGCTCATGGCCAGCCTCAAGCATCCTCCAGATCTCTGCTTTCCAAGTATTGGTATTATAGCCATGAGCCACTGTGCCATCACTCTCGGCCTCAAAACTCATTTTTAACATAGTTGAGGAAGTTGTCTTGTGATTGCTAAATAAGAATACAACAAAGTATTTTTTGTTGTTCATTTATTCACATGTGCATACATTATTTGGGTCATTTCTCCACCCTGCCCCCTTCCCCCACCTCAGTTCCAGGCAGGTCCCATTCTGCCCTTATCACTGATTTTGTTGAAGAAAAAACATAAGCATAATAAGGGAGACAAAGTGTTTTTGCTAGTTGAGTTAAGGATAGCTGTACAGACAGATTCCTATTGCTTTCGTGTACCCATGTGTTACGACCCATGTTGATTCAACTCTAACTGATCTTTACGTTGGTTCCTGATCCCCTGCTCATGATAATCTGTTGTTTTAAGGTTTCTGTATTAAGTCCTCTGGAGTGGGGACATCAAACACTTGCATATTTTGGGTTCTCTACCTGTTCCTATATCTCCTGTATGTGCTCTCCCCTTACAACAAAGCATTTAACGGTTTGAATTTTTCCTCTAGTACCGATTGGATTTCCATTAATGTTGAACAGGCTTTGTACTGTTAAATACTTAAATATTCTGAATTGTGATTCAAGGCTAAACAATATAAACAGCCCTCACAAAATATAATTTTAACCTGAGTTATATTGTTGGTTATTTTGACTGTAAAAATTATCTCTTTAGTAAGTTAGTCTATTCAATGTTTCTGTAAATGTTCTGTTAGTATGTCCTTTAAAAATTTTTGATTCTGTGTATAACTATAGTCAGAGATGAAATCAATCTTTGCTTTGTGTTGAAACCACAAAAACGACAAGCCGGGTATAGTGGTACATTCTTGCCTGTAATTCAAGCAATTCAGACGCAGAGGCAGGATGGAGTTCAAGTCCAGCCAGAGCTATATAGTGAGTTTGAGGCCAACCTGGGCTACATAGTAAGATCCTGTCTCAAAAAGAAAGGAAATAGTGTTCTGAGAAATGATTTACCGTGTGATGTGGAAAATTCAAATGGCAAACGACACATATAAGGTATTCAAAACTAGGTACACAAAAAACAGTGCAGCAAGATATTACGTATGGTCAAACCACTGTCCTTTAATATAGTTGTTTAAATTTACTATTTATAAAACCGTAAGTTACAGGGTTTTTTTTTAATGTGTGTTTTTACTGCTGCATCATGTAATGAAGTCTGTCCTGTGATGTAGACATTGACTTATTAGAGTTATTTGCCCATTCTCTCAGCCTTCTAGTCCTAGAGAGAGCCTTCTCTCATGTTCTCCATGTGCCATAATGAAAATGCTTGTTTTTATTTGTTTCTGCAACCTTTCAAAAGAAAGT